CCTTCAATCTTGAAGAAAAAGTTTAAAAACAAAACAAAATCCTTGCTTTTCAAAGCAGGCCGATAAAAATTAGCACAAGAAAAATTAAATGCCATGAAAAAAAAATGGATGATAAGCCGACGGAATCCAAACCACAAATCCAAAAAAAATCAAGTTTTTTAAGAAATTTATTAGAAAATATCATTATTGCCCAAACCGTACTCCACCGATTTACTACCTAAATAAAGTAGTATTTTATAAAAAAAATCATGAAATTAGGCATGGCAGCGGCATAACAGCTGGCTGTTGACTTAGCTGATTCTGTTAAACTAGTTGTTAACCCAATAAAAGTCTATATTCCAATTTGATAACGCTTGCTAATCGCAAGCGTAATGACTTGTAATTTCAGTGAACAAAATCCTTAATATAGTCAAATCGTGCTGCCCAATAAAAACTGAAATATCATGTGATTTGAAAACTAGTTTTAACACAGCCACTGATAAAAAAAACGGTTTTTAACAAGGGCACAAGATGATTTTTTGTGCAAACTTGATCTCAAAATGGATTTGTACTTTGAACCGTTATTAGGATCAATCGTTGTTAGGATTCTATACTTTTTCCAAAAAAATGTCTTAAGACCTAGAGAACATTTTGAATATTTGTTTTGACAGATTGATGTTGAAGAATGGATGAGAGATGTGCGGTTTTTTGAGAGCTAAATTGTTTTTGATAAATTCATTCATTCTGAGGCTGAAAAAAATGCTTCAGAATAAGTTCTTGATTCTTTTTTTTCTAAATCAAAACCAAAAGATTGGGAGCATTCTGAGCTACTTGCAAACGGACGAGCTCATATCCTCGTTCTATTTTGTTTCTTCAAAGTTTTATCTGGTTTATACAAACTTCTTGATTAAGGAACAAAAAAATCCACAATTTATGTTGTTTTTTAAGGATTTTTAGCCTGATTAGAAACAATTTCTCGTCGATATTATACATTCAGTGTCAATTCATTTTTAAACTGAAAATATTGATGCATACAAAAGTTTGAGGCAGCTCTTTCGTCAAAATATTTTTTAACTAAAAAGCATAAACCCTATAGATTCTATCTTCAAAAATTTGAAAAAACATTGGTCCAAGCTCGACATTCACAAAATTTTGAGTAGTCTAGATCAAAAAAATACAACTATTGATGATTCAAATTGGATTCACTTTCAGTCATAAAAAGTGCACAGACGAAACAGAACGTGGCAGCAAATGCGATGCATCCCAAAACTAGCGATGACTACGGAAAGGACAAAAAACTAATCCAAGAACCAAAAATTCTAAGAGGCAATGTGAGCCATTTTTTTCAAGTTAGATCACGGAGTGAAAAAAAAGACTAGAGCTTTTTGCGATGCTCGTGCCATTTGCAAAGGCAAGGAAGGTAACAAATTGACCACGTTTTAAACTGATATATAATGATTTTTTTCAAATAGTTCAAATATGCCCAAGCAAGAATTTTTTAAACAATTCGGGACCTCTGTATATGTAAAATTGTTTAAAAAATTCTTGCTTGGACAGAGGTCCCGAAGTTCTCAAAAATACCCCTCAGAACCATGGATGTTGCCGGCTGTTATTTGAATATTTTCCTGAGCAGTTTTTGGAAAACAAAACTAAAAAAAATTTGAATCACAGTTAGATATATATTTTGTAGTTTATCTGGTGGTTTTATTAGAATATAAAAAGAAGATAACAAATTCATTTCGCATACGATTGATAAAATCTTACAGATTACAGTTTTTTGGCATTTTTTGCATGTTTACAAATATGCACTGCACTTTCTGCAAGGGCAGCAAAAAAAACAGCCTCGCTGATATCCATTTATCGCTGATACAACTAAGCAGTTAAAAATCAATGCTCATGGACACTAAGAAGCCTATAAGAAATTTTTTTTGGGATCAATTTCTTGTCTGTAAAATCTGAATGAAGTAGAATGTTTAAGTGGTAATTAAATCACAATTTAATTCAAACATTCAAAGAAAAAAATTTAAGAGCTGATCTTCAGCACCAACAGAAAAATACTTTTACAAAGTTCACCCGTTATGCCGATTTTGCTTGAATTAGCATTATAGGCGATACGACACTGCAATAGCTTTGCAATTTAGTGTACACAAAAAACAAGATGCAAGCCAATAAATCAAAAATTATATATACTTACGCAAAGGCAAACACTAGCGAGAACACGACAAAAAAGCAGCTTTCTAAAGTGAAATAAGAAAAGATAAAATAAGCCTCGAATTAGTAAAACTTTGCTGCGTATATGCTTAAAAACTGCGACTTCGAGAATTGGAGTCTCACGCCCTGCCCTTTCGGACCTGAACGCTTAACAACCGGCAAACAATAGTCACGAATAAAGCAGCTACATATGCTAATAAATTGCCAAAGCCATGCAGCAAAAGTGTCCCCAATTTGCAAGAAATGGTGGTAGATCAGTAAACCAATGTATCAGTAAACCAAAAACGGTTGGCCCAGATCAGTAAATTGAAAATTATTGATTGAATTGCATAATCAGACTAGCTAAAAACTGAGATTTTTACAAAATGACAAATTTTTTCCTCAAAACAAAAATTGAATCGAAAAATGAAATAAAATAGCTCTTCCTCGTAGTTTTGAAATTTTTGTTCCAGCTCAGGAAAATTTATTCTATAAACCTTTAATTTTGCAATTGATCTAATTATTACGTGAATCGGTTTACTGATCTGGGAATTTATTGACACATCGGTTTACTGCACGCACCCCTCAAAGAATAGTTTGGAATATAACAAACTGAAATCATCTACACTAAGTTTGCATGCAATAAATTGGAAAGCATAAAGCCACATTATGTATATATTATGTATTTCAAAAAATGCGAGATATATTGAGTTTTTATGACTGTTATGTCGTTTGAAACAAATAGCTTTTTTCGGTTCTTTTGTTGAATTTAAAATACATCAGCTGTGTTAAGTTACTACTATTCGAATGTAAAGCACATGCTATCAAAAAGTCGTAAAGGTGCCCCGAAAGCTGCACCATTATTTGCCACTTAGGTTAGAAAAGTAGTCGTAGTATAACACTAACGCTCACTGAAGTTCGCGAATGTAAAAACTGTTGTAAATTTAATTAACAGAGAAATACATTTTTGTCTCTATGCTGTTTAATGCGAGTAAAACATACGGACAAAATTTTAGACCTCCCTGGTGAAAAAAGCATGAAACCTAAATTTCTCTATGAGCGATGAGCAATAAGGTGGGACCCGATTTCACATAAGCCAAAACCATTTAAGCCGAATTAACAATAAACCTTTTGAGAAGAAAAACGTACATCGGAGGTGGAAAAAATACAAATGCTTTACCCAACAACGCCTAGAATCGGTAAGACTTACACCGGTATCTCAAAACACTTTTGGTCAAACTAAAGCAATTTATAGATAGTTTAACTTCTCGATTTATGTGTTTTGATAAGCAACAGAGGCCAAGCTATGGTAGTTGTTGATTGCGTACTGAAAACAAAAGACCACCTCGGTTATTTGGATCCAATTGTATCCTCGAGATAACAGAGTTCTACGACATAAGTAATATATTTGTTACCACTCGGTTGATTTAAGGTCAAAGTTTTAAATGAAAACGCCTAGAACGGTTAGCAGTGTCATCGCTTAGTGCAAAACTTCATTGCGATTCCAAGCGTGTTTTTATAACAGACCAAAATGCTTGCAACGATTTGTAGGCATCTGTCAAGAGCAAAGTCTACTAACAAAAAAAACAAATTTGGCGTCGGAATGACAACCAATATTAGCAAATATTATTTAATCATAGCCAACTGACTGTTAGAAAAGAGTAATGAACGCACGAAAACTAAAAAAAAACGACTTGTTGTTTTTTTCAAACTTTTGAACTTCGAAAAAATTAGATGAATTTGAAGCTCTTTGAATTTGTAGAATAATTTTTTTATGGACATTTTTTGGACAAAATGAACCCAAATTGAGAACACTGGATCAATAGGTAAAGCTTTTATTTCGCTGGGAAATCTGATAATTATTTTTCATTTTACAATTTTGCTGCTCGATAGTGGAGTCTGCCTTCCATTTAACAATAGAAATACACTGAACTTTAAAAGAAATCACAAGTCAAACCGCAAAAAATCAAAACCGAGTCTGAACAAATTTTCTGAAACGCACGTTCATGCATGTCTCAGGTCTTCCCCCACCATATTTTGATTAGAAAAAAAACCAACTACTCTATAAATTGGCTTTTTAAAATCAAAATGAGGTGGGGGAAGACCTGCTTAAACGTGCATTTCAGGCCCTGAAACGCACGTTTATGCATGGTTTAGGTCTTCCACCACCATATTTTGATTTAAAAAAAAACAATTTAAGACTTTTTTTCTGAAAAACAAATCAGAAAGACTTATATAAGAGCAGGGTGACCACTTTTGAGAGAAAAATATTGACTATGACAATTTTCGAATTTTTGTCGACCTTCTTTTTTTTTAAGGTCCGCCAAATTAATTTTTCAAGCTCTGCCAAAGCATTAAAAAGTCCCTGTTTTGGCCAAAATTTCTGCGACGGCAGGCATAATTTTGAATAAACAGGCTGAAAAAGTCAGTTTTGGGCACTTTTTAAAAAAAATTGAAAAAAATGCGTTTTTTCGGCGCGCGCTCCCCCATCAGTATTAGTACATATTGGCGCCAAAGGCGCCTTTAGAAAAGATTTTGTCACCGTTGTAAATAGTGACTTTTAGTGACCATTGAAAAAATAGTGACTGGTCACTAAAATATTGACCAAGTGGTCACCCTGTATAAGAGTACTCACTACATTCATTACTCTTAAGAAATCTCAGACTTAGATAAAACTTCTCCGAAGTGAAGTGGCTTGGAAGTAACTAAGAAGGGTCGGCTTCTTAAGAATAAGTATGTCACCCCCTCCCCTCTTACCATAAAGTAATGTGTTATTGGACATTCAGTCTGAATTATTCGTCTTCAAGTCTGCGTTACCGTGTTTAAGAAACTAACTAAACAAGATTCACAAACCATTCTCTTGTAAACATATTGCAGCTTTTCAACAAACCATAAAGAATTCGTAAATTAATTTCTAAATAATTGTAGACTATTTATAAAGCAATTTATACAGTTTTAACTTCTCGAGTGATGTGTGTTTTGATAAGCACCTGCGGCCAAGCCATGGTAGTTGAGGATTGCGTATTGGAAAAGAAAACGACTTCTTTGGGTAATTGGATCGAATTTTGTATCGTCCAGGTTACAGAATTTGTATGTCATAACTTACAATTTTTTACCGCTCGGTTGGTTTGACTCAACAGAGATTGTATGCTTTTGGTTCTAACTTCACATTTGAACTCAGTTGCAGAAATTTCGGGTAACGGCAGCACTTGGTTGGATTTCTAAACATGAACAGAATGCCGGTTCGAGCAGGGTGATTTAAATTGCGTAAGCCTAGCGATGGCCTTAGAAGAAAATCCTTACAAGTGAATCTAAAAAAATAGCCAACAGACAGACAGGAAAACAGTCATGTACACAAGGAAGCAGAAAAATACTGACTTGCATTTCAAAAGAAAAACTTCAACTTTCGAATTTCAAAGTAAACATCATATGACCTCAAAGCTCGTTGAATTTCCAGAACGATTTCTGATTGGCTCTTTTTCGATAAAACAAACTTAGACTGTAATTCATACAAACTGAATAAATTGATGGCACTGACGTTGGTTATAGGAGCATATCAACTGGTATGTCGTCCATGTTGGGGTAGAAGAGGAGCTTCTTGATCTCCTGGACCAGTTTGGCTCCTATGATGTTGCAGACCATGTTGATCTTGATCATCTTAGTGCCCACTTTGGGAGACACATGCAGTACAATGTCAGAGGAGGAGTCGAAGCCCCACCTGAAACACAGAACAGTTTTAACTATGTATGATGATATTACTAGTATCTTGGTGTTATTGCTAATGTTGTACCTCGTTGTATCTTTACCCCAGTCTTTTCTCGGTTCGTCCAAAACGTTCTATTTTCTGCAAGGTGATTTATAATTCTGTACTACAGCTAAATGATATATGTTTGTTAGCTACGTAATATGGCGGTGGTTTTTCAACCAATCAGGGCTTTTTCAGGGGATTTTATTTATAAAAGACTTTTTAAAAGAATTTTAACAAAAGGAACCCTAGGTATCTGATACTATGATCAGAAATTACTATATCGGAAAAATATAGCCAACAACAACAACAAGTTCGGGATAACAACAAAAACAACAACAACAGGAAATTAGTTCCGTTTCGAAGCGTCAATTGAATTGGTTTATTATATGGGATGCCAAATGTATGTTAATACCAGCAAATTGACCATCAGTTACCGAGTTCATAGTAAGCTCAAAACATGAAATTTACATTTAATTTTACCAATCATTACTATTGCTGCTGTTGTAAGCCAATAAAATCGGTCATCTTGTGACAATATATAGAGCGTAATCGACCTTTATATACAGTTGCAACAGACTAACATAAAATTAAAAGCGTGCATAGTTTGCTTTTACAAAAAGTTTGCAAGCATAGGCTAGTTTTTCAGTCAGAATTTATACGTAAAGGTGGCCTTACAATCAAAATTCATACCTCCAATGGCCTTAACACTGAAAATGGCATGCAAAACTTGTTCATAAATGGCAATGACATCTTTTTTACTTTGCTTTTTTTACATTCTGTAATTCAATATAATCCTCTTCCCACTTTTTCCTACTAATTATGGAAAAACTAACCAAACAGATTGCGTAGGCGGTGGTGGTATATTAATCAATATCAATCCATTGATAGATTGGACTGATATTGTCAGCAGGAGATGTGTATTGGATATCTCCTGGATGATATTGTTCACGAACTGGCTTCCTCTCAGACGCTTCGCAGTGTCGCTTTTAGCCACCCTCCCCACCACACTAGAGAGAGTGCGTAAGTGGGAGGAAGGGGTGGGGCTTGTGATTGAACTCCTGGTTCCCGATCCAGAAGCGCCACTGGAGCCAGGCGTGGAAGGATGTTTGGAAGGTGACATGAGAAGTCCACTGAAGCACAAAATTATACAGAACTCAAGTTTTAGTTGTCAACAAAATAAATCGCAAGCAAAAAGCAAAACCCTATGGCGCTTCAGTACGAATCTATCCACAAATAGCAGATCAAATGACTATTTCGATGAAGTTATTAGCTGAACTTGGCTAATCTAAGCCATTTTACTTACCCTGATGTTTATTTAATTAACACATAGGCAAAGCTGTGCTTCGCAAACACTTGCGAGAACACGACCAAAAAGCAGCTCTATCAAGTGAAATAAGAAAAAAAGAGAAATAGGCCTCGGATTAGCAAACACTAGGCTACGTGCCGGATGTGACCTGGCAAATTTGAGTCTCACGCACGAACCACTCATGCTTAAAACCACCAAAAACTAGCCACCAATAACGCAGCTACGTATGCTTAATTGCCAATTCCATGCAGCAGCAAATTAGCACCAAGTACAAAAAGATACAATTTTGCATGTAACAAATTGGAAAGCATAAAGCCAAGTTATGTATAAATTATGCATTTCAAAAACATTGCGAGATACATTGAGTTGGAAAATTTCTGAACTCGAGCTTTTTTTATCATTGTACTGCTGTTTGAAACAAATATTTTTTTTGGGTTCATTTCGTAAATTAACAATGCATCAGCTGAGTTAACTTTTTACTAATCAAATGTCAAAGCACTTATGATAAAGCACTGCTACCGCAGCCTGTCGATTCAAAGTGCCACCGAAAGTAGCGCTTTTATTTGCGTCTTAGGTTGAAAAAAAAAGTAAGTTTATACTAATACACTAGGCTTCGCAAGTTTAAATAAACATGCTATAGCTTTATGTCCTTAGGGTGCAAAGGCGACGGCGTTATCTCTAGGCTAAGTAGTAACGAAACTTTAATAATGAAGTAAGAAACGCGAGTAAGATTTCTAAGAAAACTTATTTACGGGAAAAAAGTCTAGTTCCCAACTACAACACAGTTGCTTTTGCAAGTCTAATGAAAACATCGCCAACAGACGTTTAGAAAAAACTCAAAAAAAGAACAGGGGAAAATTGATTGTTTTCGAAAAAAAATCAACTTCTGAATTTCAGACAAAAAGCTCTTTGAATTTCAAGAGCAACCTATATTAAACACTTTTTGATAAAATTAACCCAATTTGAGAAATCTGGATGATAAGAAAAAGTTTTATTCCGCTGGGAAATCTGAAAAGTAATTTCCACTTTCAAAACTAGAAATCGATCACGTTATTTCGCGCCATTTCAGCTTTTATAACTGGAGAGTTCATTTCTCCGGCCATCTAGCAAAAAAAATTTGAACTCAAAAAGTGCATATATACTTAAGGGCATTAATATCTGCATGTATAAGTATAAATGCACTTCTTTTGTTATTAGAGCATACTAAGGAAGTTCCTAAAAAAACTTTTTTTTGTTAAATTCAAAAAATCGGTATAAAACAGATAAATCAAACAATTGCGAGTTTTATAAACACTGAAAGTAGATGAGATTATAGATAAATGAAGAAAAAAATAATCTCGACCTATATAAGAGTGAGCAACGTTCAAACCTTAACCAACCAAAAATTTACGTCATTTGTTGAACTTGGCATGGTTTTCGAAAAGTTGACATAATAATTAACGATAGCTTTCATGTGTTTTAACTGGTTTATACTTCGTCCGGTTTATAGACCAACGTCAATTTAGTGAGGGGAAGAATTATTAGCTTTGGCGCAACAATGCACATACTTTGTTTAAATTAAAAAAAACACTTACTTTGTTTGTTTACCGTTGGTCTCTTTGTCTCTGTGTTCCTCTGTATTTGGATTCTTATGCATGTCCATCAGTGCTCCCACCCACTCACTCTCGTCCTCCGAGGACTCCCCTGAATCCTCGACTCCATCATCACAAAATGCATCCAGCCAGTCCCCCTCTCCCTCTCCTTCGTCCCCATTCGCATCCATTGATTGTCTCTGGTTATCATACACTTCTCTTTCTGAGCCTGATTCCTTTCGCCCTGCTGCAGATGATTCTGTACCGTGTCTGTTTCGTTTGCTGTCTGCCTGTTGTTTGCTGCCAATATCCTACAAATAATCGTGTAATTTATAACATAGATCAAAGATACTGAAGATCGAAGCATTCAACTCAAAGAAAAACCATGAAATTGAATCAGAGTAGAATGTCTACGAATATTGACAAAGAGGCGAAGCAGTGCATTGCACTACTTGCGATAAACCAAAATATCGCATGACAAACTAGCAGACAGTCGCTAACTCAAAAGTCGCTCACTTGAAAAAAAAACTTTTGAAACAGAGGCTAAGCTTCGCTCGCATAGCAAACACTTGCAAAAGCAGCTCTATAAAGTTCAATAATAAAAATTAGAAATAATCCTCGAATTAGCAAAAATTCATCTACCTCTGAGATACGAACCTGCTACCTAGAGATTAAGAGTCTCACACACTAACCACTAAGCCAAGGTATCTTACTAGGTACAATTAACCACTCAGTCGCAAATATAGCAGAGAACAGACGCTATGCAATTTCCAATGCTACAGTGAAAATTCTCGCACGTTTGAACAGGAAACTTGTTGAGTTTTGCTTTTCCAACGATGCAATATGATGCCACTGAACCGATTAAGAAAAAGGCGAGTAAGTAAAATAAAAATCAAGTAAAACAAAATTATAACAAACCGAAGGGGTAAATTTAAAACCAACAAAAGAACATAGCCAATCGAAGATTGGAAACGAGTAAAGAACGCAAGTCAACATAAAAAACACTGACTTTGTTGAAAAAAATCTCAACTTTCAAATTTCAAAGAAAAAATAGATACCCTTTAAGCTCTTTGAACTTCTAGAACAATTTATGATTGGCACTTTTTTGATAACATGAACCCCACTTGAGAAAACTGGACCAATAGGTAAAATTTTTATTCCGCTAGGAAATCTTAACACAGAGGCGAAGTTGCACTTCGCATACACAAGCAAAAATATGACCGATAACGCTACTGGGAAAAACTGAATGCGTAAGACTTTGAGTCTACAAAATTTCATAAGTTACGCACGCCAATTATGAGTCTACATAATTGCTAAGTGACGCAAGCCAATTATGACGCATTAGCAGTACCAGTCAATTTAAAAAAAGAAACTTACCAACTAACTTGCCTCAATTTGTAGAGCGGACGCATTATAACTAGTATACGAAAAATTTCATTAAAAACATCTGACCCTGCCAAGGTTCGGACCCTTTTATTTTGCTGCTGGTCTTCTTTCCTACCTCTACGCTACAGATCCATGATGCCTCAAAGCTAAAGTGCTATTTGTAATATAATAGTCTGCGTTAATATCCTTAGCATTGGCTGTACTTAATCGCTGGTTATTGATCTTATGCATATACTGCAATAAAAGAGAGTTCGTAATATCACACAAGCTTTGCTTGTGTAAAAAAACTCCACTTTCGAAAGTAGAAATCGTTCACGTTTTTCGCGCCACTTCCACGTTCTTATTTAGAGAGTGCTATTTACGTCACTTTCAGCAGATGAATTTCAATTGAACTCAAAATTTGAATTTTACCTAAGTGCATCAATATTTTAATACTTTTTCAATATTTTAAGCAAACAAAAAAATCAGCAAGACCTATATAAGAGTCTTCACTACGTTCAGTACTCTTAAAAACAAATCTTGAATAAAACTTGTATCCAAAATGCAAATTTAATTCAAATGTCTGCTGGTTGACGAAAATGCAGATTTGAGAAAAACTCAAGTGCTTTTGTTGGAATAGTTGCTTACAGGAAAAAGTCTATGTTCCGAATCGGTAAAGCTTGCTAATCGCGAGAACAATCATCGCATACGTGATAATTTAGCGCACATCAATGAACGAAGCAAAACAATATCAATTTTTTTGAAAGTCATCCATCAATGGGGCTTTAAAAATGGCATTCCGGAATTTAGAATGAAAAGATTCCGTGCTACGGGAACTAGGCCGGCAAAAAAACAGACTGATGATAGTCCAAAAAAAAACATTTCTAGTTTGAAAAAAAAAAACGGTCCCGTCTGATTCGAACCTTAAGGCTTTGGCATCTCAAGCAGGTGTGCTACCTCTACGCCAGATGCGCTGAGTTGTTCATTGATTTTGAATTCAATATGAAACAAGATGAAACATCTGCGAAGTCTTGTGAACAAATTTGTTTGCAGGGAAAGTCTAGTAAAACATTAATCAAGAAACTCAAGTTGTTTTGATTTCCAACTTTCAGCTCCAATAAGAAAAAAAACTATTTCGTAATTTATTTTTGACCAATTCCAAATTTATCTTCGAATTGACCTCAGAAACCTATAAAATGTACAAATATATTAACCACTGTCTTCTCTTTCTCAATATTCTGCAAATGGTCCACCAATTTGTTCAGATCCACTCTAGTCTCCACTGTAAGTGCAAATCCACCAGAGTACGTGAACTGCAGAGATGTCCACACTCCCTGTTCGTTCGCTTTTGTATCTTTAGACCCTAGTAGAATTGGGAGAGAGCTGCCCATGTCTATCCCTGCAACTGCTATTTTGTCCACGAAGTAGGGTACCTGGAACATGTATATTACTATATTACACTTCGAATCTTCTTTCGTAATTTTTCAATAGCAAATTTGTTATCTACATTCATTAATAAGAAAATTGGAATTATCAAAATGGACTTGAAGCACCTAGAGAAAAAATCGGAACAATCAGTGAGAAATTCACTTCGCACAAATAATTGGATAAAAACTGTACTGAGATTAACAATTATCGATATTAAAAATGGTCTGCAGGCTGCCTTCCAGTTTAGAGCATTCAAAAAACACAATAAACAGGTAGTAGCCCGATTTATTAAAAACAATCATCATATTGATTAAAAAATATTCAACAGACGCGAAGTTGATCTTCGCAAACACATGCAACAAAACGCCAATAAAAAGCTTTATCGAAAAAAATCTTTTCTTTATTAAAAAGAAGAAACGAGAGAAAAAAAAATTAATGAACTTGAAATATAAATTCCCTCTACGTGAACTGAACAAAGAGGCCTCGTGCACCCAACTCGACTGCGCTGCTACGCAAGTTTGCCGTTGACGGTCGCACAACCCAAACATTTGGCACTCAAAAAGAGGCGAACGCATGCTATTAAACTGCCAACGTAACATAGCAAAATGGTTTACTAAAATGAACACTATTTTATGCAAGTAGTACTGAAAAAAAGAACTCGTATTAAAACACAATTTTCGCAAGCTCGCTTGTGCAATGACGTGTACAAAATAGGCGAAAATGAATGAATAGTTCGAGCGAAAAATAAGCTATTATTCATGAATGTGCCGTTAACTCACTAAAGAGCATTGCTCCGCTTCGCTTAAACACGGCAGGAGTATAGTAGCGTATGTATCGGGGTTTTCCGCTACTCTGTTGAATAATTGCTGCTACACGATAGTGTGATGTTCCATTGACTTTATCCGTTCCAGCATTATTCTGGGTATAACTAAGGGAGACCTATTTCTGGTAGAATATGCTCTTTTTTAATACAAAATGTTAGCTTAATATCGAAAATTTCTATAGTCGTCCTTGGTCAACAATGGCCAATTGAAACGTTGATTGCTTCATTTCTCAGTTTGCTTTTGTCTCAATTAGATTATGCAGCTATTTAACAAGATACCACTTCTGTTTTGAGAATCATTCGAAGATAGAAGCAAGTTAACTGTGTCTTAAACGCATATTTTTCTAAATTCGTTCGACACGCTGCGGAAAAAAGGCCATTCATAAGACGTCAAAACAGAACTGAACGGAAATGTATGACGTGCCTGCCTCAAAACAATATGAATAAACGTTTCCTGAAAAAAAATCTCATACCCAACAGCTAATTAGAAATAAAATACCAACGTTCAATTTCTTTTGTACCAAAATTATTTCCGCGTAACGTTCACTCAATGGAACTTCAGCAACACCAGATCAACTCTAAAAAAATAAAATAGTAAAAAACAGAAAAAAAATTGATCAAAATTTTTTAACTTCCGATATTGAAGAAACCGTTTTGGAGAAAACGTTAAAATTTTAAATTTCTGAAATTTGAAGTAACCACATTTAGAGAAAAGGGATCAATGGGTAATATTTTTTATTCCGCTGCCTTTTACACTTTTGCTGTTTGATGGTGGAGTTTATCTTCCTTTTAACAAAGGAAATCAACTGAACTTAAGAAATTCAAGCTATTCCAACGACGATTTAAAAAATATTTTGTTTGGCGAACTGATGGACAAAATCTCATATAGCGTTGCGTTTAAAAAAAGCCTCTACAAGCAATCTGACAGCACCCCTTTATAGGGCTGGGAATTTCAAACTTTGTAAAGTTTTTATATCTAAGTGTTGCGAAAATTTCAATTCTAAAAGTGAACAAGACTGCTCGTATATCAGGGCAAAGCCCTGAGTGTTCCGCTTGTCCCTTAATCATATCAAATAGTTTTTGAGGAAAAAAAATATTGAAAATCTGTAAATTTTGAATGAAATCAAAGTGTAAAATTTTGAGTCGTACGAAATTAATCCGACCAATTAACTAGCCTCAATTCAATTTGGAACGATTTTGTTGTGCGGGATAATTTGCCACGCATAAATAATTCGCGTTACGCTCTCAGCAATATGAATAAATTCTTCTAAGCGCGCGTAATTTAGTCCAGAACATGTCCAATTTGGCAATTTTCAAACTCCCAGAACTTTACAAAAAAAAAATCGGAGGTAAATTATCTTTTTTACATTTGAACTCAATAAGTCGATATTTCCAACAGGGTATAAAAAAATTTTGTCGAAAACGATTATTTCGATCGGCGAAAATTGACTAAATAAAAAACCACACCAGGCATAAATATTCCGTTTCCTTCGAAAGTTGGAACAAAAATCTTTAAAATCGTAAATTCTCGGAAGATGAAAGGTTTGGATCAGCGAAATTTGAAGGCAAGATCTGCAACTTATGAGAATATCCTGACAGCAACCCACTAAAGGGTTGGAATTGTGAAATTATATTAATGAGACTATCAAATTTTGATAAATTTTTTTAAAAAAATTATGAAAAAAAAAGAGTTATTCTCATATCTCGTAAACTAAAAGGCTTTGGTAATCAATGAGGCCAAAGTACAACCCTGGAAGAAACCAGACTGCACTCCATCATAGGGTTGCTATTTTTGAATATACGTTTTTTAAATTTAAACTTTTTGAGATATTTTCAAAAATCATTAAAAAGGTCATATCTCCAAAGATAAGAATTTGAGGAGCACTATTAGGGGCAAAATTTGCAACCCCCAAAAAAAATATTGACAGCATCCCATTGTAGGTTGGTAATTTCAAAATGTGTTTTTGAATTAAATTTTTCAAAAAAATCAACAAAAAAGGCCATATCTCAGAGATTAAGAGAATTTCAGCAGTCATATTTGGAGGCAAGATTGTAAACCCTGAAAGTATTACGATAACACCCCACCATATGGTTGCTAATTTTTATTTGGAGGCAAGATTTGCAAACCCTGGAAAAACCTGACAGCACCCACTAAAAGGTTGCTTAATTCAAATTTTATAGTTTTCTAAATTTGAACTTTTTTTTCAAAAAATCATAAAAAACATCATGTCTGGAAAGCCAAAAGGATTTGGTCAGACATATTTGCAGACTATCCTGACAGCACCCCATAATAGATGTGACAATTGCAAGTTTTGGAGTTGTCATTCAAATCTCGAACTTGGAAACGTTTCTCAAAACTTCAAGACAGTCTGTCTAGCCATCTAGCATTGACCTTAATGAACATCTTCAGTTCAAATTTGTCCAAAATTCGAATCCAAAAAAACTTCTAGAATATTCATAAATTTCGCTTAAGCATTGTGTTTGACGCCTTTTGTTAACCATTGTCCTCTAGAAAAATCGCTTACACATTGCGCGTACAAGAAATTTTGGCGTTGCGTTTAAATAACAGATCGCGGTATTGGCAACTAGCGACCGCTTGCTCCGCTGCGCTTCAATTCAAAACGAGTGTTATTGTGCGCGTAAATCTTTGTTTTGCCGCTAATTTGGACTGTTGTGTTTTTGAAGTTGATAGTTTTGTTGACAAATAGTGAGATAATTGAATTAATTGGGGAAGCTTGGCCCCAGACTGAGCGTCTTTTTGAGTCTGTCAATCACTCATCCATCACTTTATTACGTTGGTCTGCTAAAAGACTCATTTTTCACTTTTTATTCTAAAAGATTGATCTGCTAAACGATCGGTCCCCAATAGATCGATAGACTCTCATTTAAATACATGCAGTAAGTTTTCTTGTATTAGTTGATTTTGTAATTGATTTTGTCAAACACGAGCTCTCATAAAGTTAGCCTTATATTTTCAACTGGAGCTACTCTGGGGCAGAACAACAGTGCCGAATAATTTGCTTCATTCATAACTGTAAAATTGGTTCCAATTCGAGGGCGGTCAGTGACAATTTGAAAATTTTGCATATTTCTGCTGCTTTTATATTCGGCCAATATCAATATTAAGTCACTGGAAATGTTAACTTTCTTTCAGATTTTCACGCTTTCTTTCCAAATTTTAGATTACTGAAATCTGATTTTTATTTTCGCGCATTCGGTAATTCGCGTCTGAAGGATTCCACCAAATTTTTTCGATTTCCCCCCAAAACAAATTAGCTTTCTCATAACAACAATTCATAAACAGAATTTAAAATTTTCAGATATCACCAATTTTCGTCACTGTTGAAATCATTTCCCGTTTCGGCACTGTTGAACGCCCCCGTTCAACAGTTTTGTTGTTGTATCATCAACTTATTATTTTGAGTGCGATTGTATTTTCTCTTAGTAAGCCAACCACTTTTAATAAATCAACTATACAAAATCATCTAAACAATCTAACTAAACAAATCGACCTATGCAAAGTCGAAAGAAACCTGGAGTTTACAAAATATACTATTCTTTTTGATAAGTTGTGACTAGTCTAATCAAAAACTGTTCATTTTTGATTAGTCTAGCCTTTTGTTAATTCAGAAGTATAGGAAAAAAATCACTTTTTCACAAGCTTTCAATAGATCCTCGTCTTCTCTGTATCTTAACTTAATTTCGAACCGATTCTTTACCTTGATAGTGGCCAGTTTGGCCTGTATTTTGTTCGCAACCAGTGCAATCCACCTCTCCTTTCTGGCCATGCCCCAGTAGAGACGTCCCAGCAGTACATTCAGTCCAGTCAGAGGCTGCTCCCCTTCTCTCTTGTTGATATCATCACTCCTCGCCTCGATTGCTGTCGGTTTCCTAACAAATATGGCAGTTCTTTTTTTAGTTCAAATAAAGTTTCAAGCGATATCGAGACCATAGGAATCTTAAGACCTTATGGGAAAAATCTTCTGAGAAAAATCATTCAAAACTTCTGAGAAAAATCATATTCCAGATGGGAATATTTGAAATTGGTAATGAGTAATGAAGTGTTTTTTTTTTGTTCAGAATCTATCACTTTCTAATTTAGGGCCGAAATACACTAATCGCCTTCTAGACGCCCTCAAATGAAAGATATTTGCAAATAAAGATTATCTTTAAAAATTCCATAAGTTTGCCTCGATTGACGTTTAGATGAAGGAAAAATTAGGAGAAACACAATGGCCAGCATCAAATTTATCATCCAGAAAAAACGCCGAGCGGCAACTAAGCCCCAATACTTTGTTCTACCCGACCCGTTAGGCCGACAAACAAAAATTTGAGCTATTAAGTTATAAGGTCCAAATTTTCAATCCCCTCGCCAGAAATGCACAAAATCATAACAAACTTCTCTCGAAAGGATGACGCAATTTTAGGCGAATAAACCGATCTAACATCAGCCGAATCATTTAAGTCGAATTCAATTTTCAAGTGAAAAATTTTTAACTTACAGGAATGGATAATTTTTTTTTTCAATTGCAATTAAAAGTTGCTGATAACAGAAAAAATCCATGCTTTCGTAAATAAGTCAAAAAAAGAAGCAGGCAAATAAAACCGGTTGATTTTTTTTTAAATCGGCTCGTCGGAAATCGACTAAAAGGGGCACGCATGGACGTAAACTTGACTGCACACGGACGAAATTAGTGGCAGGAAATTGATGCACTAAAATAAACATAGCCAACTGAAAGTTGGAAAAGAGCAATGAACGCAAGTAAACAGAAAAAAAACATTGACTTAATTGAAAAAACCTCAACTTTAAAATTTCAAAGAAAAATACATGCCCTTTAAGCTCTTTGAGACTCTAAAATAAAACAACTTATAATTGGCGCTTTTTTGTTCACATAAACCCAACTTGAGAAAACTGGATCAATAGGTAAAATTTTCATTCCGCTGGAATTCTAAAAATTAAATTCCACTTTCGAACTAGAAATTGTTCGTTTTTTGCGCCATTTGCAAGTTCGTATTCGGAGAGTGATATTTACTGACATTCAGCAGATGAATTTCAATTGAACTCAAAAAGTGCATATATACAACATAGGCGCTACGCGCAATACACCGAAGGCATAGAAACTGAATAAATACATACATAAATAAATAAATAAATAAATAAATAAATAAATAAATAAACGCAAAACTGAAATGTACAAATAATTAAATTAACATGAAAAAATATATATCTCATGAACAAATAACCAAACAAACAGACCCATAATATAAATAAATGAAAGTAAATGAATTAAATAAATACACATACATAAATAATAAAAGCAAAACTAAATGAAAGAAAGAATAATTAAATAAATATAGAAATAAATATCAACAAATAAACAAAACACACCTGATAAATAAATAAGCAATAAAAAAATAAATCAATACATAAATAAATAAATAAATACATAAATGAATACATAAATAAATAAATATATAAATAAATAAAAGCAAAAGTGAAATGTACAAATAATTAAATAGACATGAAAAAATATATATGAACAAATAACCAAACAAACAGACCCATAATATGAATAAATGAAAATAAATAAATGAAATAAATACACATACATAAATAATAAAAGCAAAACTAAATGAAAGAAAGAATAATTAAATAAATATAGAAATAAATATCAACAAATAAACAAAACACACCTGATAAATAAATAAGCAATAAAAAAATAAATCAATACATAAATAAATAAATAAATACATAAATAAATAAATAAATAAATAAATAAAAGCAAAAGTGAAATGTACAAATAATTAAATAGACATGAAAAAATATATATGAACAAATAACCAAACAAACAGACCCATAATATAAATAAATGAAAATAAATAAATTAAATAAATACACACGCAGAAATAATAAAAACAAAACTAAATGAAAGAAAGAATAATTAAATAAATAAACAAAACACGTGATAAAAATAAACAAAAATAAATATGTACATACATAAATTATAAATAAATATAAGCAAACTAAACATAATTAAATAAATAGAAGAACAGATAATTAAATAAATAAAGATGAACAAATAAAGAAACAAACATACGCAATCACGTGACATAGCGCGATATAGTCCAGCCCACATGATAATTGATAACTGTGGACGTTATTTGTCGACACTTGACAACAGACAACATAAAAAAAACCCGTTACACGATACCATAACACCTTGACTAAAGTCTTCGGTGTAATAAGTGCATTCATAAATGCATTAATATGTATGAATGGACATCTGTAGTTATAAAAACATTTTAAGTTTTTCCTGATTAAAAAAAAACAGAAAAAATCACCAAGATCTATAAAAAAGTCTCCACTGTCTTCGTTACTCTTAACAAGCTGAAGAATCCAGCACATGAATCCAGAGAACCAGTGCTTTTACGGGGAAAAACAATCTAGTACTCGGTTGCAATACCCGTGCTATTTGAAAACTATTTGAACGAAAAAGAATTGAAAAACCTTGCCTCGACGAAATTTACGTGTCTCGACGATTGGACTTCAATTTGAAGAACACAAGCCTTGGAACAAAATTGTCATCTATAAATTGGCACTCAAGCAAAATCTATCTAACAGTAATTAAGCTAACAACACTTATGTTAAGATTCAGAGTTAGAGCAAGTAGGACTAGGGGATAGAGGTTTGAGAGTTATCTGAGGTTTCAACTGAGGAGAGAGAAGAGATACTGATTGTTGAAGAATGAATTGAGATTGTGTTTATAAAATGACACGACAAACTGAGCATCAAATAGTACCAGTTAATTAATTACCAGTTAATTAATTAGTTTATCAAATACCAGCAGACCAGTTGACCTTGTCTGAGTGCATTGAGTTTTATACCAGTTGACCTTTAATTAGGTTTCTATTGCTCAAGTCTGACCTTGAGTTTGGTCTGGTATTTCACTAGTCTGGCATTGAGCTCGTCTGTCCTCAACACCCCCACTCAGGCTGAATTGGCTTTGTCCAATGTCAGGCTGCAACCCATCAGCGTTCGACGATGTTGATCCACCTTTGCCTTGCTCAGGGATTTCGTCAACAAGTCAGCCTCCATGTTTTCGGTTGGACAGTACTCGAGCGCAAATGTTCCATCCTCGACCCGCTCTCGGACAAAGTGATACTTGACATCAATGTGCTTTGTACGCTTCTGCATTACGGGATTTTTGCACATCTTGATGCAGCTCTGGTTGTCCTCGTTGATCACAGTTGGACCATCACACGTCATATCCATCTCATTGAGTAGGGATCGTAAGTAGAGGCCTTCCTGAACAGCCGCTGCCATTGCTTGATACTCAGCTTCGCTGGTAGATATTGCTGCAGTAGGTTGCTTCTTGGTACTCCAGCTGATTGCTGCTCCTGACCGCTGCACATGAAAACTGTAGCCTGTTGTTGACCTTCTGTCATCAACGTCACCAGCCCAGTCAGCATCTGCTGAACCATAAAGGTTGAACCCATCAGGATCTTTGATGTAGCACAGCTCCAGATCTTTGGTTCCTTTCAGGTATCGCAGTACTCTCTTAGCAGCCACCCAGTGTGTTCTCCCAGGATTCTCCAGAAACCGTGAAAGTTGAGTCACAGTAGCTAGGATGTCTGGCCTCGTTTGCTTGGCTATGTACAATAACGAGCCCACTATGCCTCTGTAGTCCTCACGCTGCATTGCCACTGCTTCTTCTGAGCCCGCTCCAGGGCAGTCCTTCTTCGTCAACTGAGTGCTGATATCAGCTGGTGTCCCTACTGGTTTGCAGTCAGCCAACCCAAAGCGCTCCAAGCAGTCTTCAATGTAGCGAGACTGATTCACAGTGACAGAACCAGGTGCCCGTTTGACCTGCATTTTCAAAAACCAGGCTAATGGACCGCGATCATCCATCTTGAATCGGTCAGTGAATCGGTCCCTCACCCTGTCAACTTCTGCTTGCAGTTTGCAGCCAATGATGATATCATCCACCCATACTAGAACATAGATCATAGCATCATCCATTCCCCTCATCGTGAACAAACAGAAGTCATTGGTGCTTCGAGTGAAACCAGTCTCCAGAAGAAACGTGCTCAGCGTCTGGTACCAGTCCCTTCCTGCCTGCTTCAGCCCATAGATACTGCGTTGTAGCAAACACACTTGGTTGTCCCCGCTGCTGAACCCCTCGGGCTGTTCCATATACACAGTTTCTGTTAACGGCGAGTTGAGGAAGGCTGACTTCACGTCCATCTGATGAAGTACAAGATCATCTTGCGCTCCCAAAGCCAGTAGTATTCTCTTTGTTTCTGGTTTACAGGTTGGCGCAAAGGTCTCATTGAAGTCCAGTCCTTCCACTTGCATAAAACCCTTCACCACGTATCTGGCTTTAAACCGCTCCACTTGTCCCATTGCATCTCTCTTCACAGCAAGCACCCAGCGTCCAGGAATGACCTTGCGAGAATTTGGTCTATCAACAAGTGTCCAGGTGCCCATTGCCTTCAGTGACTGCACCTCCAAAGCCATAGCTGCTAGCCACTGCTCCCTTTCTGGTCCAGATACTGCTTCCAAGTAGCTTCTTGGCTCTTGTGCTATCACTGAAGCATGAGTGTAAGCCAGTCCGTATCGGATGGGAGGGTTCCGCGTTCTAGTTGACCGCTGCCCTGGAATCTCTGTTGGCCTCTGCTCTGGAGGCTCTGTGGAAGGTGGTTCCAATTCTTCAGTCTCGACTGGGTCATCTTCCGTAACCCCCACTGAAGCTGCTGCTCCACTATCATTCGCTTTATTGGTAGACTCAGTGATGGTCTTCGTGCTAGTTTCCTCTACATCAATGCATCCCTCGATTGATAGACCCAGTGTTTGTGACTGCTCACTGTCTACCAGAAAGTCGTCTGGAATGATGTCTTCATTGAACGTCACGCTTCTTGCTCGTACCACTCGCTTTGTCTCCAGGTCCATCAGCAAGTAGGCTTTGCTCTCCTCGTCATAACCAATGAACTTGCTCTTCTTGCCTTTCGGATCCAGTTTCCGCCGGTTTCCTCTGTCCAGGTAGTACGCCAGGCATCCGAACACTCGCAGGTAGTTGACTTTCGATGGCTTCCCATAATGCATCTCCATTGATGAAATGCGATGCTCATTGCTGGATGTAGGACACAAGTTGCGAACCCTGACTGCCGTTGACATTGCTCGTACCCAGAACATCTTTGAGAGCTTTGCATCGGCCAGTAGACATCGAGTCATCTCAGTTATCACCCTGTTGTACCTCTCTGCCACGCCATTCTGTTGCGGAGTATTAGGTACTGTAAACTCCTGTTTCACCTGCATTTCTCTACAGAACATCCGAAAAGCATTCGACGAATACTCACCTCCGTTGTCAGTTCTCAAGCACTTCGGTGTTCCGTGCTCAGCTACAAAGCCTTTGAACTTCGAAAGAGTATCGCTCTTCTTAACCAGGTACTTGACCACTGCCAGACGGCTGAAGTCATCAATGAAGCTCACGGCATAGCGCGCTCCATGCATGCTCGCAACTTCAAATGGTCCCTGGATGTCGCTGAAGACCCGCTGCCCCACTGCAGTTGCCCTGTTCTCTGTCTTCTTTGGCATTGCTACTTCGTGCATCTTCGAAGCTGTGCACACTTCGCAGAACCCTAGCTCGCCGACATCAACAACTGATATTAGATCATGCTTGTTGAGATGCCCCAGCCTTCGGTGCCACAGCATTGCACTACTTGTCTCCATCTTCGCTTTCGTAGCTAGAGTCATCGCGTTCCTCTTGAACTTGCACTCCAGGAAGAAAAGCTTGCCGCGCTGCTTCACTGGTAGCCGTCGACCATCCGGTGCCACAAGATGAGAAGAGTCTGATGTAAAGCTGAAACTAGACCCTCTAGCTATTGCTGAGCTCACACTCATCAGATTCACGTTGTAGCTCGGCACAAACAGCACATTGTGGAAAGTGTAGCTCCTCGTCACATCTTGACAGTCTCGTATGTCCACTTCCACCGAGCCTATGCCCTCAATCTTTGATATTGTACCGTTCGGATTCTCAACTGTTGTCCCCTCATCCCATTTCCCAAAGCTTGAGAAGACAGCCTTGTCGCGCACTACATGATCGGTGCATCCCGTATCCACAATGAGATCATCTCCCTTCATTGAGGTTGTTGCACAACAACTGAAGAACCCTGTCTTTGCCTGCTTGCAGTCCCTTGCAAAGTGTCCTTGTTGTCCACACTTGAAGCACCCTTGCTTCCTTGAAGTTGGACCACTTGCTTCATTCGAGCCACTGCCTCGAGCACCAGATTGACCACTGTCACTTCTGGATCTGCAATCTCTTGCCAAATGACCCTTCTGACCGCACACAAAACAGCCACCACCCGACGCTCCTTTCTTCTTCCTCACAGCTGGCATAGCTATGTGTCCATTCCCAGTCTTCTCTCCACATCGAGCTCGTCTCGAGTCATCATAGTTCCTCAACCTCGTTCTCAGCTCTGTAAAAGTCTTGGCCGGCTGGAAGCTCTCCTGCACCACGAAATGCTCAAAGCTGTCAGGCAGTCCGTTGATCACGAGCGCATTGAAGAGTGTGTCCGTAATTGCTTCCCCAGCTTCACTCAGCCGCGTCATCAGCTCTTGACTTCGAACGAAGTAGTCATCGAGATCCTCCTCTGATCCTAGGCGCAGCTTCGCAAGCTGGCCTACTAGACTGACCACTGTAGGCCTCTCCACACTGCAAAACTTCTCTTGCAGCAGTCTCCAGGCCTTCGTCCCATCGCCATAGCCATCCGCAGCCACGCAGTCGTTCTTGATGTACATCAGTGTGGTGTTGTTCAGGACCAGAGCTAGATGTGACCACACTGTGTTTCGGTTGTCTTTCCTCTGCTGGATCAGCACAGCTCGCTCCTGCATCTTGGTGTTGTACGCCGTCATCTGGTCAGCATTCGGATTCTCAGGTAGCGTAGGTTCAGCTTCTGGTAGATCGTCATTGCCCATCACAGTCCTGAACAGGCCTTTGGTATGCATCAGTGCCACAAACTTCGTCGACCAAGCTGGAAAATCTTCAGACTTTCCACTGAATCCAGCCAGTTTCAAGTCCATCTCTGCTTTGCTAAAGGCTAGATAAAAGCTAAAAAAACTCTGACAGAAATCAAATAATTATTAAATCAAAAAGTTTAGAAATCTGGGCCCATAACCTGTTAAGATTCAGAGTTAGAGCAAGTAGGACTAGGGGATAGAGGTTTGAGAGTTATCTGAGGTTTCAACTGAGGAGAGAGAAGAGATACTGATTGTTGAAGAATGAATTGAGATTGTGTTTATAAAATGACACGACAAACTGAGCATCAAATAGTACCAGTTAATTAATTACCAGTTAATTAATTAGTTTATGAAATACCAGCAGACCAGTTGACCTTGTCTGAGTGCATTGAGTTTTATACCAGTTGACCTTTAGCATTTTTTTAGCATCACCCAGAAATTCAGAAATTTTCTCAGAAATTTTTAGCATCACCCCAACCTGAAGTACAGTCGCAAAAAAAACTATTACCACCCTTCAAATGACGCAATAAAAGGCATCTCTGCCGCTAACACATCGGCTGAAACTATTTATGACAAAAGAAACCTTTGAACTGGATTTTGAAAAAAAAATCTGAGACCTTTTTTTAGGTTGAATAAATTGATTTTCCGAACTCTACCCCAAAGCACCGAAGGCGCCTTTAGCTGAGTCCGTAAGCCATAAATGGATATATCAAATTATTACAAAGGGGGTGATTTCAGTAAAAGCAACTTGTACCTAAAAAATCAAAAAATCATCTGTGCAAACATATATTAGACCAGATTTGAAGTTTTCCAAGAAAAAACTTCAATATCAAGAGCATGTATATAAGTTCTAAGACTGTTTAATAGCAATAGTTCAGACGTTCAAATTAAATTTTCATAAATTTGAGCATGTCAGCCCTTGAAAGGAGTGAATGTGCTGTCCAATGAACCAAAGAATTTTGCAAAACAAATTTTCAGCGTGAAAAAAGTCAATACTTCAATTTGATAGCGCTTGCTAATCGGAAACGTAAAGGTTTAATTAAACTACTAAAAAACCGGCAGAAAACACTTTTTCAGTAGAGATCCCGTTTACCTGTTTGCGTTGGTCTGCGCATTCTGCACGCGTATCCTGTGAGCTGGGAGGAATGTGTGGTACTGCATGTCGTATTTGCAGGCAGCATCCTCCACCGTCACTTTGCGTCTGCTGAATGAGTCTCGAGAGAGACGCACACACGTCTCAATGCTCACGGGCGATGACTAAATAAAAACAAGGATCTTTTCCAGTTCCCCATTTGATTTTTTCTGAAATTCATTTTATTAAAACCTATTCAAAAGGTCTTTTCATGTTATTGACCGCAATAAACGAGTCGTCGTGAACAAATTTTTTTATTTCCTACATGCAAAATGCAGTGTGAACAATTTTCGAACATTTTGATTTTGAATTTTACGATGGGGTGTGAAACTGGAAAAAAGCCACAAACAAAACATGAAGTCGGACCAAAGTGGAAAAGAAATAAAAACTGAAGCCAAATGAATTAATTTTGACTGGACCCTGCCCATTACCACAGCGTATCAAGAAACTTAAAATAATTTAATCCAGATACTTATAACTTAGACCATACACTTTTCCATTGATAGGGAAATTAGTATCAATTATGCTAATGCTTTAAGGGTATATTTTTGAAAGAAATCAAGGAAGCTCAAATATTTAGAATAGATCATGCCTCTCACGCACAGCATGCCAATCAGAATATGCTCTCATTTTATAAATGACTGAATGAGTAGCATCCAAAATCAATACTGTTCCAATGCCAATCCGGCAGACAGTTTTCTAGCAACAATTTTTTACTTGCTAAAAGTTGAGACAGACAGAACTAATAATAATAAGAGCAAATACTTGCTCCTTTTAATTAATTTGTCTATTCCTAGTTTTTGCTTATTATATTTACGGTGGAGTAAACTCGTTTGAATCCCCTGTGGTACTTGTGTATCTGTGCAGTGGCTACAGACAGTCGACAGAACCAGTCTTCTTTGTCTCTGTTACTTCTAGCAAACAGAAACATATCAATAGGCTGGGAAGAGAAGGAGGAGGCCAGTCTGTTGTCTCCACTGCTGCTCCAACTGTGACGCTCATTGGTTGACTCTCCCGCACGGGACGCACAGCTGTTTTCTTCTAAAACACGTCAATAAAAATCAACATGCTAGATACGTAACCACTTCACCAATAGGGGAGCGGTGGTGAAGTGGTTACGTCTCCGCCTCTCAATCGTAAGGTCGGATGTTCGAGGCCCACCATGATCCGTACTCGTTGCTTGAGGGTGAAGCAACATTACCCAGCCCAGAAAAATAACCAAAAAAAAGCATGTAGTTCTTAAACAGGGGCACAACAGCGGTTCGCCGTGATGGGCTGTACAGCTCTTGTGTTGGTCCTTTCCCCCGTGGATAAATGGTCTTAAAGATACGATCCAGATACAATAAAGAGCAGTCGGAACATTCAGCGATGGCTTTCGTTGTGGTTCAAAGGTTTACTTTTACGTTTCTGTTCACGCGAAGCCGCGAATTGTTTAGACCTGAAAAATTTTTCTACTAAAATGTTCAAAAGGAAAAGTTCTCGCTAAGTTCCCAAAAGATGCAGATTGTATGGCTGAACAGTTGCGAACCCATATTTCTCGACGGAAATAGAATTTTGAAAACAAAAAGATCCTACCTTAACAAAAAGAAAAGGCTGTCAAATTCAGCAAAGTTCTAATAAAAGCAATAAATTGATAAAAATTTGAAAACGCTACAATGATTTGTTTAAGAACACATGCTCTAAAAAATGGTCTGCTTCGAAGCCTTTGTGACCAACCTGATATGGAGCTTTCGACACCATCAACCGGAAACGTCACTTTGATAGGGTATTTGCGATTCCATTTTCGCTTGCGGGACAATCTGTTTGGGACAAGAGATATCTGAAACAGTTTCTATTGATGTTGTAACCATTTTTAGCGTCCTTAAACGTATGACAGTGTCGTTAATCCAAAATAATTTCAATATAGAAAATGCAGCTAACAAAAGCAGTTCTTCGTTAATAACGGTTGTCCGTATTTCGCTAGCTATTTGCGAGCCACGTCGTCTCTATTTGGTAATTTGGTAATCGCTAGGCTCTCAATCAAACTAAGTGTCAAAAAATTACAAAAAAGCAGGTAGTTTATAATAATCAGGGGACTAATAGCGGTTCTTCGTAAAAACTCGAACAACTTAACTAATTTACAAAAAATGCGAACTGTCCCACGCGTAATTCACTAGCACAGATAATCTGATGAAAAGCAAATTTTGGAAATTTTTGATTTAAAGGTTAATTTTATTTCAGAAGAACAACGTTCAAGCTTTTTACCCGAAATTAACTTTTTAGCAGTTGAGATTATGAAAATAACTCACCGATGCGCCTAGAAGACTGTACACTTTTACGCGACTGAACAAATAATTTTCTCCTGTCAGCTGTTCAAACGCAGACGCCTTCTTCGGCACAGCTTTGCACGGGTTGAATACTTTGAGAGTTGTTCCATCTAGTCTTACGTAGAGGGATCGCAATAGACTAAGACGGTGTGTGCAAGGGTTGTATTGATATCCGACGTTGATGAAACCCTAAAACAAACATAATACCGATAATTATCAGATAAATGAAATTAATAGCCATCGAATATTCAATCACAAACCGGTAAAACCAACTGTAGGAACCAAGAGAGAAAAACTGAACACAAGTGTAGCCGGATAATGTACAAGTTGCACAGACCGTCGCTAGAGCAACCACAAAAAAAACAGGGTGTGGGAGGACAGTGGTTTAGTAGTGGATGGGCGGGTGCCAAAACATAGCCAACAGACACTTGGAAAAGGGTCAATGAACGCAACGACACAAAATTAACTGACTTATTTTTGAAAAACTTGGAATCTCGAAAGTTGAAATTTTTCAAAAAAATAAGTCAGTTTTGTTTCTGTTAAATATTATATGGCCTCAGCCCTCTTTGAATTTCAAGAAAATATATAAATGAAACTTTTTTGATATAAATAATTCAATTTGAGAAAACTGGATAAAAAGTTAAGTTTTAGTTCCGATAAAATCCAAAAAATAATTTCTACTTTCGAAACAAAAAGTCGTTCAAACTTTCCGCACAGTTTCCCTGTTCGTATTTGAAGAGTGCAATTGAACCACTTTTCAACAGATAAAATTAAATTGAACTCAGAAAGTGCAGAAAGTGTATATATATCTAAAAACATTGATAAATGCATTAACATGTATGAATTCACATCTAGAGCTAATAGAGCTTTTTATGACTTTTTCCGAAAGAACAAAAACCAAAAAAAATCACCAATACCTATATAAGAGTCGGTGATAGGTCAGGTCAGTAAATCGATGTACCAGTAAACCGAGAACAGGTGGACCAGATCACTAAACTGAAAATTAATGATTGAATTACATAATCACATTAGCTAAAAACTGAGATTTTTACAGAAATGACAAATTTTTTCCTCAAAACAAAAATTCTATCAAAAAATGGAAAAAAATAGCTCTTCCTATGAGCCTCGTAGTTTTGAAATTTTTGTCTTAGCTCAAAGAAAATATATTCTATAAATCTTTATTTCCGCAATTGATGTAATTATTACATAAATCGGTTTACTGATCAGGTAATTTACTGACATATCGGTTTACTGTACACTTCCCATACGATTCTTCACTACGTCCATCGGCTCTTAAAAAGACGATACTTTTCTAAGTTGCGAAAGGCGCTAAGTCGAGCTTCGAGAACTAGTGCTTTACGCTAAAATAACAAGGAAAACTATATAAAAACCTATTAGTAACTTCCAGTGGCCGTGAAGAATTTAAGATATTGTTGCTGTATATTGGTCTGAAGGACAAAAATATTCAGTTAATTTTTTGGACTTTCATAAATATCAATCGGCTTTAAAGGTTCAATAGAAAATATCAGTCTGCATTTTACGACACACTTTTGTTTACCTCATTTTCTGAAAAATACACCAAACCAAACCCGTTAAAAACTAATAGTTGCCAAACTGATCTAATTTTAAGATCAAGAATATTTTTAAGATGACTTATAAAGGAGAGCTCGTATAGATTCTTAAGTACATTTTTCAATAACAAATGTAAAACCTGCCAAAATCTTCTCTTAAATGTCAGTTTCTGGACTCCTGTGTCAGTGAACTCCGCAATTTGTGGGTAAGTTAAAACAAAATTATCAGTACCCTGATTATTTTCAGTACCCTGGAGTAAAACTATTGAATGATTTTTTTTTTCATTCAACTAATAAAGTTTTCATAATAAAACCTCGGGATTCTTCACATCATAGCCTTTCCCAGCCATGTGAAAAAAAAACAGCAATAGCACCTACGCTGTTTTCACTAATCCCATAACCTTGACGTAATTCTAATGGTAACACCAATTGGTAGACATCATATTCTCAGACGAATAACCAAACAATCAACCCATCTATAATGTCCGACCTACAGAACAAGGAAAATATTTCAAATAATGCTTCGGCCAGAATTAATAAATTGTGTACAAAATTTCACAGGTCAAGAAAAAATTTTAAGGGCTCAATACCTTTTTTGATGATGGAAAGAATGCTTTACTTGAACGAAGAACTTCTAATAATGTGGAAAATCTTTACCCAGCACTAAAACATGCGTTATCAAACTCATATAAACACCCTACAAACTTTTCTGCAAACAACACGATCTGGAAATCGACTTAAGGAGCACTAAATATTCCACTGTTGAAGCTTTTCAAAAACCAAAAGTCACCCAAATTGGTATGCAGATAATGGAAGAGTTGCAGGTGATATACAAAGCCATCGCGCAATCCTACAGGACATGATAAAGGAAAGAAAAGCTTTTGGCAATCATGTGAAGCCTTCGAAGTGACAACTGATTTTCAAAAACTATTGAGGGGAAAGTCCATTAAAATTATTTAGCGACAAACATGAAATCAACAAAACACACCTCTCGAAAAAAAAAACATTAGAGATTGCTCACCAGCGTAAAAAAAGAACTATGAATCAAACATCAACAACTATGAATCACCTAAAACGAGCATCGAATTAGTTAAGCGTCCTCTCTTTTAGGACAAACTTTCTCTCAAATCAAAGTTAAAAGATGGTCTAAAGTGTAGCTGTAAACTACCAAACACTCCTCGTACATCCTTCTGAGGACAATCTTTTTCCCTCATTGCACAGGTGGAGGATATACACACCTAAGATAAAGAAGCTCATGGCTCCTTTACAAAGTCTGCCATGGTGTTGAGACAAGCATTCTCGCAATAATTAAGGAGGCTAGACTTTAATCGACAACTGATTAGATTTATTGGTAGGCGAAGTGGTGCTTCGGAAGACTTGCGATTACATCACATACATAGTATGGTAGCTAGTTGAAAGAAGTGAAGCACAATACTCAGTGCTAAATTACCATTAAAACAAAAATTATTTAGAGAACACTTATCAAGCAAAACTAGGGTACCGTTTATTATCATTGATAAAAAATTATCAGAAATTTTGAAAATATTATTTTTAGAAAATCCAAGCTTAATATCTTCGCTAAAGCCTACTAATGGTTGAAAACCTATTTTTGCTTTTGAAGGGGCATAATACGAGGCAAATACAATGATATAACCAATTGAGCCAAAGAAACCGCGAAAGCAAAAAACAAATAAAGAAATTACACAAAATCTAGGAACCGAGTTGCCTGCATCAATACAAAGACTATTTCTGACTTTAAAAACGATATGAATGAGCCTTCAAGAAAGTGCGTACTTCGGGCTCTAGGCAGAAAATTACAAGCGGATAAACGAGTCCGAAAATGGGATTTTCAAACAGCAGAAAATACAGATCCTGACCGGGCTCGAACAGCAGCAGGTATTTGCCTCTTCGAACATGGGCATTATATCTAGTCAGAAATGCGCAAAACAGTTATTAATTAGAATTTTAAAAAAAGCAATGCACCAAATGATTCGTCGGTTCTGTTACAAACATCAACTAAAATCATAAAAAACTACTGTCCTAATAAAAAACTGAGATAAAAAATTGAAAAATGAATAACATTTTTCGGAAAGCTTAGCGAAACTTCATAAACACTCGATGCCACATTACCTTGCCTCAATTTATAGAGAAGTTTCTACACAGAGGCGAAGCAGAGCTTCGCACCACTTGCGATATCACACACATATCAATGCAAGCTAGCAGACAGACAACGAAACAGAAGCCACTAAGACTAAGAATGTTTCCAAGCTAGTGACATACCCATGCTTAACTATGAACTGTCATGTCATGATTTCACATCTTGTTATCTTAGCTAATTGATATTTGTTTAAGTTAGTAAAGATCGCTAACTTAGTGAGCAACCACCAAGACAGGTTGCCATCTTATTATACATTATATTTAGCTTGTGAAATGGCGTTTTGAACAGAAAGACTTCAAAGCTAAAAGCTTTGTTACACGGTGACAGCGAAGGAGCACCCCCAGAGCATGAAAACCGTATCCAGCTCAAGGCCTGCTTTGGAGTGTTAAGCTCCAGGCTGATGGTGTGGATATCTGCGGCTAATAACTAGAGGTCAAAAAGAAAAAATCAAAACAGTGATCTAACGTAGATCTGTGCAAAAACGGCGTGGAACAACATATTCTTCGTAGCACAGTTTCAAAGGCAATGCGTTTTGGCTTTCAACAGCAGGGAAAGGGCAAAAAGGAGGAACAGTGACATTCCATAGCTAAACTATGAACTGTCATGTCATGATTTCACATCTTGTTATCTAAACTTATTGATGTTTGTATATCTTAGTAAATATCACTAACTTTGTGAGCAACCATCAAATACGGTTGCCAGCTTAAAATATATTAAATATTAAAAATGTCGTTAAACGCTTTGCTAGTTCTTAAACGTAAGACCAAATCAAAATTAAAAAATTATATTTATTGACTTACCTTAGATAGTTTCATTAACGTCCATTTTAGCAAGCCAAAAATAAAAACAGAGACACCGAGAAACCTCGCCCTCTTTGCGAGACAAGATAGCCGCTAAGCCGAAAAACAAAATCGAACTAAGAAAACTATATCTATCGAAATAAAAAAGATAGTTTAGAAAAAATCATGCCAAGAAAAAAGAAAGTGAAAAAACATCGGAAGAAAACGTACCAAGCAGTTACAAAAAAATTCAAACTGACTTGAAATAAATAAAAAGGTTTTACAACCCCCACTTTCTTTGCTCAACTTACGTACGAGGCCACTGAGGCAATTTAGATTCGAGTAAGAAAGATAGGAAAATTCGAACAGGCAACCTCGAGATTTGGAGTTTCATGCCCTTCCCTCTCAGCCCATGCTTAACTAGTGACATACCCAGTGACGTACGCTAGTGACATACCCATGCTTAACTTTGAACTGTCATGTCATGATTTCACATCTTGTTATCTTAGCTAATTGATATTTGTTTAAGTTAGTAAAGATCGCTAACTTAGTGAGCAACCACCAAGACAGGTTGCCATCTTATTATACATTATATTTAGCTTGTGAAATGGCGTTTTGAACAGAAAGACTTCAAAGCTAAAAGCTTTGTTACACGGTGACAGCGAAGGAGCACCCCCAGAGCATGAAAACCGTATCCAGCTCAAGGCCTGCTTTGGAGTGTTAAGCTCCAGGCTGATGGTGTGGATATCTGTGGCTAATAACTAGAGGTCAAAAAGAAAAAATCAAAACAGTGATCTAACGTAGATCTGTGCAAAAACGGCGTCGAACAACATATTCTTCGTAGCACAGTTTCAAAGGCAATGCGTTTTGGCTTTCAACAGCAGGGAAAGGGCAAAAAGGAGGGAACAGTGACATTCCATAGCTAAACTATGAACTGTCATGTCATGATTTCACATCTTGTTATCTAAACTTATTGATGTTTGTATATCTTAGTAAATATCACTAACTTTGTGAGCAACCCTCAAATACGGTTGCCAGCTTAAAATATATTAAATATTAAAAATGTCGTTAAACGCTTTGCTAGTTCTTAAACGTAAGACCAAATCAAAATTAAAAAATTATATTTATTGACTTACCTTAGATAGTTTCATTAACGTCCATTTTAGCAAGCCAAAAATAAAAACAGAGACACCGAGAAACCTCGCTCTCTTTGCGAGACAAGATAGCCGCTAAGCTAAGCCGAAAAACAAAATCGAACTAAGAAAACTATATCTATCGAAATAAAAAAGATAGTTTAGAAAAAATCATGCCAAGAAAAAAGAAAGTGAAAAAACATCGGAAGAAAACGTACCAAGCAGTTACAAAAAAATTCAAACTGACTTGAAATAAATAAAAAGGTTTTACAACCCCACTTTCTTTGCTCAACTTACGTACGAGGCCACTGAGGCAATTTAGATTCGAGTAAGAAAGATAGGAAAATTCGAACAGGCAACCTCGAGATTTGGAGTCTCATGCCCTTCCCTCTCAGCCACTTGCGCTTTACTATCGACAAACACTAGCCACCAATGAGGCAGATGAAAATATTTCTGTTGCAGTATTTCAAATAGAGGGGACCAGGAGATGAGTCTTGTGAACAAATAGATTTACTGAAATCAACTAATGATTTTGAACCAATGAGACACGTTCAAAGACAAGTTATTTACCTCGTATTTCAGAATAGCCTCTTCCTGGTAGTCTATTCTATCTGTTGTTGGAGGTGTTGTAATTTTAGTCGATGAGCTCAACAGAGGAAAGGTCATAAGCGCCAGCGAATAGCTCAAAGCTGAACAAATCAAAGCACCAAGTAGAAATCCCCTCAAAAAATCAGGGAGTGGAAGAGACACTACGAGAATGGCGATTCCTATTGCAATAAAACAAAAATTCATCATTCGTTCCTTTGAGTCCACTTCTTTTTTCGCACCCATAATAGTCTTTTCTACATTGCTTTCACAAGTCGATGACTCCAAGATTTCAGTGACTTCTTTTGTTTCAGTGATTTCTTTTGTTTCCTCCTGAAGCTCCTCTCTCGTTGATTGATTTCGGTTCTGCGCATTATCAGCTTTTAAAATAGCAGCATCGCTATTACTTCTGTGGGTTAGGTCTGACTCCCAGTTTATTGAACTATCATCTGTGTCATTTAAGTCGTTTTGGATTGAGGATAGACTTACAGTTGGAGCAGAAGGACTATGAGGGATCGTTGAACGCCTTGGCGTTAAGTATTTTGCCATCTTCAGAGATGCAAAACCCTCAAAAACTTTCTACATTATCTGAAACCACATTTTGATGCCCTAACTTCTAGTTATAGGGGATAATAAGAACATATTTTGAAATTTGAAGTACAATGCCACCAAACGATCATGAGTTTTGATCTCCTAGCCCCGCTCTGAAAAAAGCTACCAGGCTAATCATATTGTTTTCACAACCGCAGGATATCTAGAGGCTGCTGCCTCTGGCTCTCTGCGTTGTAGGTCGATGTCCATTTTGCTATCCCAATTTCTCCTTTATCCAGAATTATTCAGGTCCGTTTTGAATATACTCGATTTCGAAATACCTCTGTGCGGATAGGAAACACCCACTTCAAAAAATGGGTGCCGGACATCAAGCCGACGGGACTTCAAGCCGAATCGTAAAATTGTGCCATTCTGCCAGACTGGGACAGCACAACCTTCCGGCGACGTGAAAAAGAACGACTAAAGGCCTTATTGACGAAAAAGTATTGCGAAGGAGGGTCGGAATATTCTAGAATTTTTATTTTTAAAAATTCGATCAGAAGAAGAATATTTCTCAGAAATACAAAAAACGGCCATTTTGACTGGAAAAGACGAAAAAACAGAACAACGACAAAAATCGCCGAAAACAGTCGCACAAGAGACGAGAAATACGAAGCCTCTTATCGTGGCAACAACACACGATAAGAACCTTAGCAGTGAATATTAGTGGAGAAGGAGGCTTCAGTGGGGAAGAAATATACCATGGAACCATCCCGGGACACAAATTGGAAGAGATAAGGGCGTTATCTCAGGAATATTACGGGAGCGGAGGCTTGGTCCCCCAGAGACTGTTTTATGTGAAGGGACTGTATAAACTGACTGTATAGCTACTAGAATGTCATAGATCTCTTAATTAACACCGTTATTGTTTGATATTTCAGAATATGAGTAGCTAGAAAGAGGAAAGGATCAATCCATCTCCAATGGATTTTATATAAAACTGTCACACAAAAACATATTAAAATAGGTTGTTCGAGCCGTGTTTTTAATGACAATCACGTAGTCTAAGGATCCGAGACTCAGCTATGTGGTTGTGTTCGCATGTAAACGAAAGCTGATCAAAAGTCGTTTGACTGATGGCCTAAAAATGGTAACTTTTTACTTTGCCCTAGACAGACCAGAAAATCAACTGGCAGGTCGAGACGGTGAAAAACGAGTAGGATTAAGGTAACTGACGCCTGCCAGTCGTTAATAGGTACTTTTTCTACGCTCCGTCGCTGTGTAGTATTTGAGCGAATGTTACATAGACGTTTTTATGGCGCTCCTGGGTGGGCCTGTCAAAGGCATGAAACCATCATGTGCCAGTCGGTCATATTTGGAAGTTTGACCTTGAGAGAAGCAAAAAAAAAACACTTGATTTTGGAGTGAAATTTAATTTTTCAAAATTTCGAATGGAACCTGTCATGCACGATTTTCTCGCGAGAACTGAAAATCAGAAAAAAGAAGTTAGAACAATTTCAGAACGATTGAGACACACACGCGGGAAAGTTGTAAGAAAAAGCAGTAGGAAATTGCTATTCGCAATTTCCATCACTATAATAATCGAGAGTAGAGCTGTCCCATCTGTGACAGAGACGAGAGCATTCCCTCGAATTGGATTATAACGACTGGAGTATTATTCGGAACCGGACTAGAGTGAACCTTCGGTGGAAAGGTGGACAGCTTGAGTGTCCTAATGGTTCACAAGAAAACTATTGTCTAGAGTATAAACTCGTTCTCATTGTTAAAACTATAAAACATTAGACTCATTTAGTTGCGTTATTTAATTCTTGAGTTAATTACCGACTGGATTATTTCCCACTTCTTGAGCGTGCTACTATGTGAGTACAAATTTAAATTCCTAGAGTGTGTTTTATGATTGTTATGTTGAGGTAAGGCGAGTTTTAGGTTGATCCATCTGAAATGGATCAAAGTTCCACTGTATAATAAAAAGTAACCTAACGGATTGTTCCAACCCGGTTTTTAACGGCGTTCATATATTTTGGGTATCTAGAGACCTAAGTATGGGGACGTTTCTAATTCTAGAGTGGGGGGATATTTTAGTAGTAGCCTTTAAGCTGTAACGGGTCGTAGTCTCATGTCACAAGCGAACCGAACTGGCTCCGACCGTTCTTGAGGTAGAAAAACACAAGAGATGGTGTCCCTGACCCTTGAGCCAGTGGTTATAGGGCCTATTTTTCTTAAGCCTCATGTGTGACTGCAGTAGACGAATGTTACATAGTGTTTTTATGGCGCTCCTGGGTGTTTACGACATCAAGACTACGGAGTCGAACCCACTTGAGACAGCTTCGGGCTGAATGCCCATTCTAGAGTACCGGCGGTACGGTTCGACAGGAACGTGCAAACCTTCCGGTTGTACCGTGATAGCTTTTTAAGAAAACTCGAGAAAATTTCCTGGTACGCTCTCCGAACGAGGCTTAGCTAACCGAGTAAAGGGGGGCAACTAGGGGGACAAAAACACGAGCAAAAAGACAAAAAGCAAAATAAAAAAAAAAAAAAAGAATAGAAAAAGGAACAAAAACCATAAAACGAAAAAAGACAGTGACTTTGACACCAGATTAGTTGGATCAAACCTTTATATTAATTAAATAGTATACCCATACTGTTTTACAAGTTCGATCGTTTCGATCAACCTAGCAATTTAAACCAGTAAACTGAATAAAGTGCCCGAAGTGGGGCGTGGTCAAAGGTTTTCAGATAGCTTGGAACTTAGCTGGACCAATAGGAGACTTGACTGGAAGAGGTGACCAGCCGAGTGGGAAAGTGGTTCAGGGACACTTGAGCTGAACCAATAGGAGACTTGACTGGAAGGGGTGACCAGCCGAGTGGGAAAGTGGTTCAGGGACACTTGAGCTGAACCAATAGGAGACTGGACTGGAACAGGTGACCAGTCGAGTGGGAAAGCAGCCAAGAAGGATTTGGCAATTCTCGAGTTCTCAAGTTGGGCAGAACGGGTATCGTTAGAATCCACATTACATTATAGGAGATAAGTGTAAAATTGGATAAGCGAAATCCCCCAGTTTTGAGGAACGTTTTTACTTGAGCAGGCCTGGAAACAGGTCTACGGTTTTCTCTTGAGAGGTTTAGCACCCGGCGCTTAAAGTAATTTTTAGGCTTAAGAAGGGGGGCTAGAAAGGGGGGAGGTTAGAAGGGGGGCTGGTTAAGTTAGAGGTTGGCGGTTGTAAATTGTAAAAAGGGGGAAATTAGAGTAACTAATTAGTCGACATCGTTGACTTAGTTACATTAGAAATTAACACGCGTTGGTAATATTAGGTGGAGATCCAAAATTCAACTCGAGTTAAGACTGGTACGCTGGTTGGTTTGGTAGGGGGGACCGGATATAGACAGCTTTTGTGATACCCCATAAGATCACTAGTGGGGGGAGGAAAACGCGTGGCAATTAGGTACCAGACATTTTTTTTAGACGAAAGGTAGACATTGGTCACCTTTGAATTTCAGGTGGGCTCATTTTTCTGTTTTTATTATTTTTCTTACTTAGATTTTTGTTGCATTTTAGTGAGGATTTGTGTTTGGTTTTATACGAACAGGTGATCACAAGATACCTGCGCACCTACATTGAAATAGAAACAACCAAAAAGAAGAGGGGGGTCAGCATTTGGCTTTTAAGAGAGGGTTTTTGGGAAAATTTTACTAGAGCTTGAGTGGTGGTACAAGGTACGGTGATTCAAGAAGACCCTACAACGAGGAAGACACTCCGTGACGAGTATTGGGACAAGACCGAAGAAGTCTTGGGACAGAGCAGTCTTGGGATAGTGGTCTTGGGACAGGGTCTTGGGACAGTGGTCTTGGGACAGGGTCTTGGGACAGTGGTCTTGGGACAGGGTCTTGGGACAGTGGTCTTGGGACAGTGGTCTTGGGACAGGGTCTTGGGACAGGGTCATGGGACAGTGGTCTTGGGACAGGGTCTTGGGACAGTGGTCTTGGGACAGTGGTCTTGGGACAGGGTCTTGGGACAGGGTCTTGGGACAGGGTCTTGGGACAGTGGTCTTGGGACAGGGTCTTGGGACAGGGTCTTGGGACAGGGGTCTTGGGACAGTGGTCTTGGGACAGGGGTCTTGGGACAGGGTCTTGGGACAGTGGTCTTGGGACAGTGGTCTTGGGACACTAGTCTTGGGACACTAGTCTTGGGACACCAGCCTTGGGACACTGGTCTTGGGACACTACCCTTGGGACACTAGTCTTGGGACAGTAGTCTTGGGACACTAGCCTTGGGACACTAGTCTTGGGACAGTAGTCTTGGGACACTAGCCTTGGGACACTGGTCTTGGGACACTACCCTTGGGACAGTAGTCTTGGGACACTAGCCTTGGGACACTAGTCTTGGGACAGTAGTCTTGGGACACTAGCCTTGGGACACTGGTCTTGGGACACTACCCTTGGGACACTAGTCTTGGGACAGTAGTCTTGGGACACTAGCCTTGGGACACTAGTCTTGGGACAGTAGTCGTGGGACACTAGTCTTGGGACAGTAGTCTTGGAACAGTGGCCTTGGTACAAGGGTCTTAGGACACTAGCGGAGAGTACTGTGATAGTGACGAATAGTCTTGGGACGGTATAGAAATTGAAGTCAAATTACAACAAGGGTGTTTTAAGACAGAATAAGACAAATCGAAATAGGTACAGTTGAGACCACATTAAGGGAAATTTTTCAAAGGTTTTAGAAAGAGAGCTACAACAAGGTTTTTAACACGTTGTACTAAATTTGTTACCACAAAAAAAATTTTTTTTTTTTGTTGTCTTGTTGTTTTATTATTATTTTTTTATTCTTAGAATAGAATCGTGTATATAATAAAATTGTAAATAAAAGCAGTTGTAAATAGAAATAATGAGGCGGAGTAGGGTACCGGTGCTCGAAAAAAGGTCAAGTGGATCAAACACGAAATATAATTCATCGCTGCGCGGAACGACATCAACGGGCCCAAAGATAACGAAGAAGAACTTTTCAGTTAACATGGTCAGCACAAGGAGTACA